TTTGCTGTCTCTGTATTTTGAGCAATTTTTTTTTTTTTTCCTTTCCTCCCTCCCCCCCTTTTCTGACATAGTAAGTGTTGTCCATTACAGAGTAGTAAAGGTGTGAAAACTAGAGGTTGCTTTTGTTCATATAAAGTTCTGTTGGCCTTGTTAAGCATTGCTTTGTCATTTTCAAGTACGTTAAATGAAGTGTAACAGAACATTGCTAGGCGATGCTTGAAGTTCCAGATAGTTGAAACTTTTCTGCCTTCTGTCCACAGCTTTAACCGAATAGACATTCCTCCTTACGAAAGCTATGACAAGCTATACGAGAAGCTGCTAACTGCCATTGAAGAAACATGTGGGTTTGCTGTGGAATGACCCTTCACAGGCTTACCTGAGACTCTATTTATACTCCTGTCAGCCAGAAAGCCCTTCCCTCAGCCAAGACTCAAGAAATGCTTGAAATACAGGAAACTTTCCCTTTTCTACACTAGGACACTGGGAGGGAAAGGACAACTTTGGAATTTTTTTTTAATATTTTTTTTTTTTTTTTATTTCAAGAAAATAGGTTCTGTGGTTCCTGCCATAGGATCATTCAGCTGCTATTAAAAACTAATATCTTGAACATACAGAATGCTGACTTTTCCTACATTTCAACAGTTAAGCAGTATTCTATACTTAAAGACTACTACTATTTTTGTAAAAGGTAATCTATTATATTTGCCTACCTGATTTCTATTCTCAGATACCAAGACACAACTTCAGCAGTCGGTACAAGTCACGTTTCAGCCTGTTTTAAATGTATGATACTGAACAGCATCTATACCTGCTATTTTTGGAAAAAATATTTTGGATTATTCTAACTTTGCATAAAATTGGCTGAAAGAATAATTAGTCTTTTTAATTAAAGCCACTTCATGTTAACTGCATTTTCTTATAGTAAAACATTATATTCTGCAATGTAAATTCAACTTAAATGTTACCACAGGGGCTTTTTTTATATTTTTCAAGCATGAATTGCAAATACGATGTTTTGGGGTCCTATTTATATCACTTGTCAGATTCCTTAAACAAAATTTCTAGTGTGAGTGACACATGCTGTATTTGGTACAGTATTTGTGTTAACATGTGGAATAGACCTTTTTTAATGAACAGGAGATGTTTTGATTATTTTTTTTTAAAACAGCATTTTTCTAACAAGTCTGAGTATTTTTTGTTGCTTTTGACTTTAAATTTAAACACTGCATTTTTCAACTTTGTAAGCGTGCTGATGAGGTGATACTTGACAGCAGAAACCTGTCAGCAGTTTGTTTCAGAACCCATCCTGTCCAGTCAACCAAAGTTTGTTTGAATGCAGCCAAATCACATTATGTATTTGTTGATGCTAAAGATTTATCAGGTAAAACATGTTGTAATCTTTTGTCTAGCTGCTCATGACATGTGGGTTTAAGTTACAACTAAGGAAAAATGGTGTATTAACTGAAATATGCGTAATGTGCTTTGAAAATGAGGCTTTAAAAGCACATAATTTATTGATTGTAGGGATGGAAGTAAGTATATATATGAATTATAACATGGGTTGATCTCTTCAAAGGGGAATAAAATGCACTACCAGTAGAGGGAACTGAACTTTGAAGTTAGTTTGGGAATTCTCAGTTAAGATCTGTATGATCTGCTTGTGGTGTGTAGATAAATCAGTCTGCTTAAGTGATGGTGGCATTCTCCTCTCAGTGGTGAGAATATTTGGAATAAGTAGCGGGTTTTTTCCAATCAGCGTTGTGTTTTTTTAACTTGGGTTACAATTAATCATCAAATCTGCACTATTTTTACACTGCTAATGAGAAGAAAGTCAAGGATATGCTAAAATGCTATAAGAATGGGATGTAAACAGCTGTTCCATTTTTGCAGTGTAAGGCACACAGTGAACTACGTAATTTTCTGTCTGTTCTGTGGAGCTTGAGCTTAATTTTGTTCTGCCAAATCTGACTGCCACAGTGAGTAAACTACTACTGGTGTTGTGTATTAGAATAGTGGGCAATGGACTACTTTTGTAGAATTGTGGTAAGAATCCGGTGAGCCAAATCCACATGTTCATTTGATTATTTTTTTTTTTTTTTGTACAGCTGTTGCTGGAAGGTTTGTTGTAAGAGACTTGCTTCCCATTCTGGGCTGGCTGCAGAGATGAGGCTACTTAGGGATGTAAACATAAAGCCAAGAAAACTTGCTTTGACAGCCAGATTTGAAATGTATCAGACCCTTTTTTTTTTTTTTTTAATTCATTTCGAGGGACTATTGCACTCATGTAAAATGGCTGGTACCTTTGCATCTCCAGTTGGGATACCTAATTCACGGCTTTCAGGTAATAATGTTACCAGAGAAGCTACCACTACATCTGTCCGTGTTGCCTGGGAGAGCAAAGTAGGTTGTTGCCCCGTGTGTGTGTTACTCAGTACTGCTGCCTGTGGTTGGGACCACTGCTTTAGACACTCCCAAAGACCTCTTCTCACCCCCCCGCAAGTTGTGAGGTATGATGTGAATAACTATTTACAGAGACTTTACAGAGACAGGCTCTTCTGACCACTGTTCACAGGATAGATACTCCAGTGTTGTATAAGTGATTTCTTTTTTTTCCCCCTGCTCTTGCTCAGGCTATGGCTGCAGCCTCCCTGGTCATGAAACAGAAAAAATGTAAAATCCAGTTTGATCCAGCTTTTGGGAGAAGTCAGGACTCTGTTAGGTGATTCAGGGGGGAAGGTATGCTGCTGTTCCCTCTGCACCCGACAGCTCACCTCGGCACTATTTAAAGACTGTCTCTGTAGTGTCTCCTGACCACATCATCTATACCCACCTCCCAGGAACCTTCTCCCTGTTGGCCTGCTTAGGCTGGTAAATTTATTGAACGCATAGTTACGGCCACCCTTATGTCATTGAAAGCGTTTTTGAGGAGGGAGGAGATGATCTCTGCAGAATACAGACTCTAGATCAGCTGATAAATATGATTCATTTTCACAGCAGCCTTAGCAGTACATCTGTTTGTTGTACAAAACATTTTGGTATAGCTTAGAGAATTTTTTTTAATTGCCGCAGATAAATATTGTAAATTTAATATATTATAGGCAAACCTAGACAAATCTACATTTGACTTTCCATAGCTGACAGATGAGGATGAATATACCGAGTATTTTGAGTGCCTTTCTACCTTCATAATGACTGAGAGCTTTAACTAAAGCACCTCATCACCTAGTCAAATGTTTATCTGAAAATGTTAAAGGGTTGAGTGCTTTGCAAAATTTTGTTTCAAGATCATGTCAGCTACCTTCCCCTCAAAAAGGTGCTAAGCCTAATATTGCATTCTAACCTTGGACTTTCACCCCATGATTAATGTGAATATTTATTTCAATGTGTCCCTCTTACTGGGTTTTACTTTATCCAGTCTTTAGTTGTTTTAGAGAAATGTCACATCATGGTTTTATGCTGTTGCTTTTCATTATGAATGTTTAATTATGAACAGTGACTTTTGTAGATTTCAAATATACAGTACACAGTTGAGTTTCAGAGGATTTAATTTCTCGGTGTAAAGAGTTTTGTAATGGTGCTTTGTACAGTATGTATTCTAATTTTTTTTTTGCACATAGTTTCAGTTTCCCTAAACTGATTTATTTGTACCAAATTTTTGTGTTGTACTAAAGTCCAGAGCACACAAGCCGTTTTTAAATTCTTGTTCTACAACACTACATCTGTATTGAACTTCTGGTGCGTTTAAACTGGCTGCATTGATGGAAGTAAAAGCTTTGCTTCTATATCATAAGTATGCATCATACAGCTTAATGTAGCATGCTCCAACTGCTTCAGATTTTAAACAGCACCATATAGTTAACAGGTGCCATTTGTTGTACTTTACACTATGTAGTAGGTTTCTGGCTCTACCACATCTTCAGAGCTTTGTCTGTAGTTGTAATTAGTTTATACAATTGTAATTACTTCTCCACAAACTGACAGTTCTTAGTTTATCATTTCCATTGTATTTATTACAGAGTGTTTTAGCATTGGTATCATTGTATTTTCACCCAGCTGTTACATGAGCTTTAACAAAAAAAATCTGTATAAAATGGTTTTTAAGTACTTAATGTATGTACCCATGCAGAAGTTGAGCAATAAATTGTATGCTGTTTGCACTGTCACAGCATCAATGGTTTTAAAAGTTTTAAGTTTTTCTTAATTAAATATTTACTTTAAAATGTAACTGACATTTTTAAGTAACTCATCTTTGTTTCAGGAGAAAATACTTAAAACTTGGTGTCTTTCTACATGCTGTTACCTAGCGTAAGGATTGTGTTAAATGTTCCAGTCAAGCAAAACGGGTCTTACTTGTTTCATGTAACGGTGTACGTGTGTCTTGGCAAGAACTTTATCTCGGCACTGGTGAATGGAAGCCTCCTCTCAGAATTCAGCAAAGCTAAACCATCTTCCTTAAGGGAAGAAACAAGGTAAATAAATTTTGTAAATACTTGTTAAATTTGATCAAGTTAGCTGGTAAATATTGTCACTTGGATAAAGGCCTCAGATTAGCCTGGCTAATTTCAACCCCCTGGAAATGGTTGTTAACAAAAACCTCCAGAAACCCACACCCTGACTTTCTTAAGTGAGGTATATCATGCTCTAACTGCCTGCTGTTTTGTTTAATCTGTAATGGAAGCATCTCAGTTTCTTTTTCTGCTTAGCTTTTTTCTCTTCCCAATGCATGAGTCTTAATTCACTGAGTGCAGTATTAGTTCCGTAAGGGACACCATCTCATGGCAAGCTTTAAATATTGTATATACAGTGCAATTAATTCCAGTATGTTTATATCACTTCTCACACATGCAGTTTTAAGCAAGAAATCTTCTATTGGAGTCTGTTTAAAATTACACTTTAGCTCATCCTCATGATCCCAAGGTAACTAGTTAAAAATTGCAAATTTTTGTCAGAGAACATTATTGGTAATGGGCTTTGCTAATTATCAAGGTAACTAGTTAAAAATTGCAAATTTTTGTCAAACAGAGAACATTATTGGTAATGGGCTTCGCTAATTATTGGCTTGGTTTGATGTAATTTGTTCTCAGTTTAAGTATTCAGACCATCTTGTTGGGCCCATAATGCATGGCTGCTGAAACTTGAATTTTCTGTTAAACAATGTATTATTTATAGCACATGATGATTCTACAGAGAGAGGTGTAGTGCTTAGTGTCAGCTCCTACTCTGCCTGGAAGCAGAGCTTACAACCTGAAGTAAGGTAAAAGCTGAAAGTTGGAATTCTTATTCACTGTTTACTCTAGCTTCACACTGACAGAACTAGATCTAATGTGCTTCCCCCTAAAAAAAACTAAACAGGGTACTAGATACAAGTACCCTTGCAAAACTTTATATCCAGTCTGCCTCTCACAGAAACAGGGTCAGCTACTTCAGTTGTTACTGCTTGTCTGTCTGTCTGTAGGATTACAATGACTCCTTTTTGAAATAGATCAACTGAAACAAAACTTTGCTTGTTTACACATGGACTTACATAGTTTTGAAAACCCTGTGTGAAATCCAACAATTTAAATACCTACAGAGCATAAACCTGTTTGTATACCCCTGTTGAAAATAATTAGGAATGCTGTCCATAGGCCACTCCCATGTTTCAGTTCTTGCAGAAGCTTCTATTTTACTGCTTTAAGAGAATTTTCATTGTTTTCTATTTCAAACTACTTTTTCCAATACACTTGTAGCATAGGAATTAGTACTTCGTATGCTTTGCCATTAACAAGCCAGCAACACCAAAACTGCAAACATAGTATTGTGTAGAATAAGTAGCCCTCCCTTGCTTAATATATTAAAATTACTGATTTTTACGTCAGGTTTATCTGCTCTCTAACTTGTCCTTCCAAAGGAAACTTGAATCACTCATGTTCTTTTAAAGGTCTACCTGTTCTTTGTGAGCTTTCCTCTCCAGTAACGTCTGGCTATGGTGTTAGTGTAGCTTTTCAGCTCCATCAGTAAGAACCAGCAGAGGTGTAGAGAGGGCTTAGCATTCAACTGTTCCGCTAAGATAACCTCATCCCACTTCCTTTGTGTGAAGCTCAATGTTGTCTCAGCCTTTCTAAGAAAGTAGAAAGAGTTTAAAAAACTTTATTGGTGATCATAAACATGCTGTAGAGATACCAGCAGCTGCACCTCTGACATGTCAAAATGACAGACCAGATGTTTTGGACAAAATCAGCCACACACCATCTTCCTGTTACAGCAGCTCTCAAAAGATTTTAGTCATTGTAGCCCAAGAGAGCTGCAGTGATATTTACCATAAGTCTTACAAGAAATTACTTTTGCTATACTGAAAGGAAGCCATCTGAAGTCTAGATTTCAGTCTGTCTGCTTCTAGTTCTTGAAAAAAGGTGTCATCATCACTTTGCATTATTGCTGCTTGCAGTTGCTGTATTTCCTTTTCCATTCTTGATCTCAATTCTCTTTTTGTTTTCTGTAGCATCTAAAGGAAATACAGATATTAGCCAAAGCACATAGAAAGAAAAGACATTTATACAAAATTAAAAATACGTACTTGCGCTTGTGCTTTTTCTCTGGTTTGGATTTCTTGGCGTTCTTGAGATAAAGCTTCTGCTAGCATGGAAAACTAAGCATAACACGTGTTTGAGTTGAACCAGTTAAAGACAGACTTCTAGTGTAAAAAATATTAACTGTCTTTGATGCAGATGTTAACCTTTACCTGATCTTTGTAATAGTTCTCCATAGACTCCAACTCATTTTGATGCTCTTTCCTTTGCTCAGCACGCTTCTCTTGAGCATACGCTCTCAGGTCCTTCAGTCTTTGCTTCTGAATTTCTAAGCCTTCTTCAAGTAAGTTTTTAAATATCTGCCAGCAATTAAAAAAAAGCAAACCTAAAACTTTCCCAGAAACTTTTAAGTATACATTTATATTTTTCAGCTACTTCATCTCCTTCCTGATGGAAGGGTGAGCACATGACGATAGTTCATTGCCCATGAAAAAGTTCAAAGTTACATATCTAGTCATGGTGGTAACAGATACAGCTGAATTTGTACTATGCAGCTGAAATTCTGATACACAATACATTTTTCATGTCAGTTTAGTCATATGACTAGGAAAGGGGCTAGAACATCCAATGTGCATTACATTTTTAAAATCACTTCAGACAAACCAACAATGCAAGCCAGGGTCTTGGAACATGTCCTGTGATTTACAGCCTGCCCTGCATTCTGTCACCTAACGTCAGGACTTTCGTCCAGATTTCCAATAGCAGGAAATCCAGCCTGTGCTCAGCCTTTCCATTTATACAAAAGAACACTTACCAGCTACAGTGCTGTAGTTTGCTTGAGGCAAACAGTTCTCAAATCACTAATAGTGGATTATGCACTAAACTTGTAGTCTTTTATTTTAAAAGGTACAAGAGTAGATACACAATTCTCAAAGCATAGTAACTCTACTTGCTTTCCTTAGCTCTTGATGTCCAGCCCTAATTAAGAGATCATATCTGTCAAGTAGTCCACTTCAACAAACATAACTGAGTAACAAAGCTGTCTTTTTGATCAGTTTTCTTAACTGAAGATTTAGATTTTTTTCTTTGGATAGTAATTATAGGAACAACTTCTTAATCCTACTGTCTCTGAAAACTAATTTCCCCGATTCCTTGTATTATCAATCAGCCCTGTTTTTCCATACTAATACTTCACCCTTTCTCTCCTTCTCTTAACCCCATAAAGCATCCTTTCTTCCAGTGGTTTGCCCTGAACTGTATCAGTGCCCTATCAATGTTTCCAGAGAAGGAACCTTTTCAGCTGTGGCTTTGACTGACCAACCATTTAATCCTGGCTGCTATGTTCTGTTCACTTAACATGCTCTCTGTCTACTTGTACCCATGTCTGAACTACCAGACTACAGGTCCTCAGCACTGGGGTCCAAACAAAAAAAACAAACAAAAAAAAAAGAATTCCACACTTGCAGAGCAAGACATCTTGTACTTACCCTTTCTTCCCGTGTCCTAGCCCGCATCATCTTGGCACGCAACTGAACCCGGTAATCTTCGTAGTATTTCTTGGCTCGAGCAATTTGCTGGCGTTTCTCTCTCACTTTATTCTGAGCCCATTTCTGTCGGCAGATACGTTGCTTAAATTCTTGCTAAATGGAGAACAGTAGCTGTAAGACCACCAAGCTTCCAATACATACTGCTACAGGCAAAGCTTTGTTAATTGTTGTTAAATAAATAGGGTCCTTTACTAAGGACCAATTTTACATTGCATTTATGGTTTAAAGCTTTAGTCACCACTGATTTAGCAGAGTGGTGCCATCAAGAGCACCATATAATTAAAAAGTCGGCATTGCCACGGTGGCTGGTATTTTTACCAGTAACACCAGGAGCCTGAAGTTTCTCCTCCTTGCACATTACTAGAATTTGTTTGCGCTTTTAAAGGAACAGTGCAGTGTAATAATAATATTCCCTTCCCATGACCTCAGAAGCCACACAGCAAACAGAGATTACATGGCATTTGAGACCACAGCTACTCAAGAGGCATAAAATTGTTGTAAGATAAAAAGCCACTTTCGTGGACCAGGCATTCTAGCTAGCTCAGCATGAAATGTTTGTATTATGTAACAAATATCCTTCAAAGAACATACCAGTCTCTTGTTATGGTCTTGATCTTTTTTAATAATTGCAACAAGAAGCTCATGCTTCTTCAGGGCTTGTTGAACCTGGGGGTTTAAAAAAAGCTAATTACTTCCATCATTCTGCGGGACAGGCAGTTGTGTGTAGGAGTTCTAAACATTGCCCCTCTGCTATGTTTTGGCTTTTATGTTGAGTTACCATACGTAAGTTAATCAACTTTTGTATCTCATAACTAACTTCTAAATTAAAAAACTGTTCCGAACTAGAACTCAAAACTACAAAATACTTTTTAAAAAAGCAATGGCAATCCTAGGCAGTATTAAATAAGCTAGTATAAAAAATGAACATTATATTTGGATAAAAAGTTGAACCCGTGTGTCCAGATATATACATCCCTATTTAATTAACCAAGCTGAGATACACATCATTTCATACTGTGCTTTGGATGTGCATGTACCCTATCTATGCCGCACACAAAGAGTCAGGCTGATTTTATTATGATTTTACTATGCTGTACAAACTGGTGACTGCTAACTGTTCCGTCAGAGGCACTATCCCTGCTGATGCTGAGAAGGTAAGAATAAGAATACGCACATCATTTTGGAGTTTTGGTCTAGTTCTGCCAGAAGCCGCCTTAAGTTGTTCAGCATGTGCAAGCTGCTGCTGCCACATTTTCTTCATAGTATGGTGAGAAATATGTAGGTGGGGAAACTCTTCCAGTAGCTGAAATAGGAGGTCATCATCTCTTACTTTCACTACAAGGTAAAGACAGATGTAAGCAATAAACTCCTGGAGAATACATTTAGTGGTAAATTCTTCCAGTAGTGTCAGCCTAGTTTATGAAATATTTTAGATTGAAGACTATATACAGCTACCATGCTGTTACGATGTCAAGCTAAATGCAGCAGGACATAACATCACTCTGTCAGTACAGCAGCAGAGAAAGTAATCCCAAGCTTTTGGTGATGGTTTTTTGGTTTTGGGGTGGTATTTTTTTTTTCCCCCTGAAGAATTGCTTTTACAGCTCAGGTGTTATTTCTACCCAACTAAGACAGGTATCCCTTTCTTCTTCAAATGGTTCTGACCATCACTAATCTCTCTCACTAGCTGCAGCAACTTAAAATAATGCTAATACAGTACTACTAGTGACAGATCCAGGTCAAGTAAACAGGTGGAAAATAAACCGATTTGCAACCAGCTCATTCCCATTACATCTTTGATCTTTCTAACAGGAAAAGATGATGGGGAGCTGAACTGAAACAAAGGGGTATTAGCCAAGTATATGCCCTTTAAACACTGAAAAAATAAGGGGGTGTACCTGAGCAACATTCAGGTATGTAGGGGATTAGACATCTTACACATATCTTATGTATAAGCATGGACAATGCTGTTTACCAAAACTGAGTCTGATTTGCATGTTGGCTGTTCTTGGAGCATCAGTTGCTCAGCAAAACCAGTGACAGTGTTAAAAGCACCACGGCAGGGTCTTGAAGACTGAACTTAGGCTATAGTAGAGCAAGCATAGGAGTAGCAGTAATGGAAACAAGCCTTGAAAGCAGTCCAAGGGATTTTAAGGAGGACGCAAATGGGTCAGTTTTGATTGTGCATTGGTAGTTTACATTTACTTAAAGCATTATCTTCCCTAACAAAAATCCAGACATATAGAGGTCATAAGAAGGGGAAAATGCTACAGCTGACTGGTATATGTTGGCCTGATGCCTTTATTCTTGGAGTTCAACACATGCTTTCAAAAGATGCCAGTTTTCCACCAAGTATAGTTTTGCAGTTCTTACTTGGAGCTGCTTTCTTTGGCTTCACAGTCCCTCGTTTTGGAATCCACTGGCTGTATTTGGGATTCCGAGGTGTGGTTTTTCTAGCATAAACTTTCACTGGCTGAGGCATTTTTGGAGGTTCTTTAAAGATGTTTTCTTTGTATTCTTGTTCCTTAGGAGCAGATGTAAAACAGATGGAGAACAGGTATGAGAAGGGAAAGACTGATAGATCACATAGTTTGGATATCAGAACTTAAATGTCTTTGAAAAGTTAGAATGAGAACTTGGACATACTGAATTGGATTCTCCAGAAGGCCAGAATTTACCAAATACAGGTCAGGGTTCAAGTAAAGGTTAAATTTCACTATTAACCTAACACTACTGGAGCAGCCTACAGACTGCTTCTGCAAAGGTGGTGAAAAGGGGTAGTGCAGCCTACTTTGTTAGCACATTGGTATGACAGAGCTTTTCAGCTTAGGTTCTTTGCTGTTCCAGTAGTATGTAGGAAACTAGCAAAACCCCCTTTGCCATATTCATAACATTAGAGAATCATCCTTGCACAAACCCAACTTTTGGAGTAATTAAAAAAAGATTATGACAATATTCAGCAGTGTACAGGGGCTCCAACCTTATTAACCTAGCTGCTGGGGATATGTGTGTGAAGAAGTACCCATCTGTGGAGAAGTTTAGGCCAGTCTATGGAAGCTATCTACTTGCTCACTGAGCTTTAATTCTTTAAATGAGTGTCTTGAAGTTACCACTTCATGGTGGTTGTTACCCATTAGAGTAGATCTAATTCTTGATGTGCTGAAACTTCTAAAACTTCTTGTCCCTTGGTCCTTCCTATCTCAGGAAAAGCTGTCCTTCTGTTTAGTAGTATACAGTGCTGTAACTATGACACTGGAAGTCAAGGAGTTTTTGTACCCAAAAGACATATCCAGTGTCTGCGCAGATCATCTAGACAAATTTAAAACAAAACACAACCAACAATCACCATAGTGCATTACATACCATTTCCTTGATGACTTCTCTGAGCTTGGAAAGTCTAAGCCTCTCCCTAGCTTCATAAATTCTTAGTTCATCTTCATAAGCTTTAGCGACCATCTCAAAAATAAAAATAAGAGAAGTTTTCAGAGAAAACCATCAGTCCATATGACCACCTCATTAACTTGTTTGGTGTATGGGTCAAAGTAGCTTCTTCCACTTTTTGCAAAATTTGGGGTTTAAGTCTTTTCCTCAGCAGTCTACAGATACCACAGTACAAAGTTACTAAAGTAGGCCAGATGCCCCCATTAAGTAAAAGCATTCAGTTTTAATGCTTTTAGTATAACTGTTGGTAAGAATGACCAATGGATCTAACCTAGGAATTACCTTTGCTTTTTTTGTTCTTTCATCCCTTTCTTTTTGCAACTGGCTGCGTATTTTCCTTATTTGGCCAGTTCCATTACTGCAAAGTTTATCTTCCAACTCTGAAAAGAGTTGATGCTGAGATGAGGGTGAGGATGGAGAAAGGGATCGTGGCCTGCTTGGGTACCTTGGATGTGGTGTGTCTGTAAGGAAAGGCAATTCATTGAGTATCCAACTTGAAACAAACAAAAAAAACCCCTCCAGCCAAACATAAGGAAAACAGGCCCCCAAACACCCATACAGCAGCATGAGAGTCAAAACATTTAGGCAGAAATCAAGTTTAAAAAGCTAAAGTTTTTGCCTTTAGAATTATTCCTGCCCCAAGCCACAAATTTTGGGGCTTATATTATAGTACAGGTGGGAGGAGATAGTAAAGATGGGAAAGGAAAAAGCAGCAAAGACAACTGAAAGTAGCTCAAGGTGAGAGACTCTGTATGCCAGGGTCACAGACAGCTCCATCTTGCAATATAGTGTTGTGCATGTGGGTTGGATTGAGCTAGATCAAGATTTACAATAGTTTTATAGCCTGGTGTACATACAGGGTGGTTATTTAATCATATTGCCACCACCACACACACTACACAATGCATTTATAAGATACCTCAATGTACATGCTGTGTTTGGCACAGAAGACTCTGCAATGAAGTGTATTGCGACTAGGCCCTCGTTTTAGTATCAGTCCTATATATGAGCTTGCATTCTGTCCCTCCCCCCACTTCCTATATGTTTTTTACTGCAGCTGTGTTTGCCTTGTACTTTTAGTAAAGTTTCACCATAGCTATTTAAGTGTTAAAGAGGAACTTGTTACTGTTGCTCAGGTTTGGATCCAAGACACAATGTAAGTGAACTAACAATACAAAAATTACACTGAACGTGTAGTTACTCATAGGTAGTTACTGTCAGCTCTACATGAGAGATTTTTTTTTTTTAAATATATATATATATTCCTTTCCAACCTAATACTTAAGTGGCATAAGAGTTGTTACCTCGTTCAGCTTTCCTTCGGCGATAATCCATGACACTGTCACTGTGCTGAGACAGATTGTCTTCATCTGTCAACTCTTCTTCTCTGGTGGGCCCACCCAAAGCTCTCTTCAACATCTATTGGACAGATTTGGGGGAGGGGCGGTCAGGTTTAGTTCATTCAAAATTGAGAAGTGTCTAAAGTCAGGTATTAGTTGCAGATTTCTTTCTCATCAGTATTAAATTTATATTCTGGTTCTCTCCACTATCATTACTAAGGCTAGCTTGCTCAGATACAACAAAGAATAGATTTCACTTACTAAATCTAGTTCATTTAACCTGCGAGACAGTTTTTCTGACACTTCATGAAGCTCTGGCTCAGATAGCTTTTCCTTTGTTGTCCTGTAGGAAAGAGACTCTTCAAGTGAATCTGTGGTAGAATTTTCACATCTGCTAAAACAGAACACAGACAAATTTCATTTCTATTCTAAAAACTTTAAGATAAGCATTACCTCATACAATTCCAGTTCACTTTTTGCGTGAGCACATTTTTATAGGATTAAGTATAGAAGCTGAATGTGTTAATGCCTATAACTATATTTAAGAAAACCCATATGTCAAGAGAAACAGGAAACTTTTCTGATAAATTTTATCTTTCACTGTCATGCAGCCAAGGAGGAAGAGATCTTATTTTAATGGTGTGGGGAGGGGGCTGGGTGGCCACGTATATGAAAGTGCTAGCTTGGCTGTACCAAAAAACTGAACTTGCCTTTTCTTTCTAGGCAGATATCTAGATTCAGGTCCTGGAGTTTGTGTTACTTGTTCAGCATGTAGTGAGAGTTTTTGATGTAAAGAGGAAACAGATGAAGCCCCATATACCCAGGGAACCTAGGAAAATGAGTTAAGAGTAAATTAAGATTTTAAGATATTCACAGTAAAGCTTAGAAATACCATAGATCATGTGAGCAGAGAGGTCCTACAACAGCTTTTATAGGAGAACCATTTCCAACCCTATGATTATTTATATATTTTTATATATATATAAAAGTAGCTGTATGTCCAGGTCCCTGGCTGAAGATAGTGACCTTTAGAGAATTAGATGCTTAAAGAAATAGACTAGCAAAAACATACAAGATCAGTTCAAGAATCATCTACAGCTAAACCACTGAATCAAAAGAGCAAGGTCTAGGTTAAGTTATACAAGTATCGCTACATACTATTGCCTTAGACTGGGACTAATGCCAAGTAATGTGAGTAAGCCGAACCTCACTGAGTATAGGCTAAGCTGCAATTCACAGCAAACTAAAAGAAAACAGTTCTGCTCCTATGCCATTTAGTTACACTGGTTTAGTACTGCCTGGTAACTTAGCTGTTCAAACCAGAGTAATTCGGGGTTGGCATGTGTATATTTGCAAATACACCAACAGAAAATGAGTTTCAAACAGAGACAATGTTTTAAACAGACAATGGACAAGTAAAGGCTGTTGAAATATTGGAACAAATGAAGCCTGTGAGTACCTCTTGTGGTTGCAGAAGGCAAAAAAAAAAAAAGTGTTTTCCAGAGCAAGGAACTACCTCTACAGACATGTTTCTACAAGCATAGAATGGCATCTGCTGATCAGTTTGTGGGTTTTGCATTATTCAGTTTTTGAAAAGCAAAGGACAATGCAAGGAAATAAAATGAAAGAATACAGCCAGGCAGTTCAGTGATCTTTAGGAAGGGAGCAAAATCTGAATTTTATTGGAGTCTGAACCAACCCAGAAAACCAAAATTCTTACTAATTTAGAATACTGAATACAGCCAGAGAAAAGACATGACTGTACTCTTATGTTTTCTACATCTTTGATTAAAATCAAGGTAAGTAGTAACTGGGTGGTTGTGATAAATTAGAACTCTATAGGCACTGGCACTTACACTTCTTGGAGCAAATAGCTCTAGAAAGAACTGACATGGCTTACTTACAAACTGTACGTAGTCATAGTCTAACAACATTGCATTGCTGATTGTATATTGAGGAGAGCAAGCCACAAGCAGATTTGAAAAAAGGCCAGAAGTGCCACAAGGTATCAGGAGAATTAAGCAGAAATTCAAAAATATTGACTGAACTTCCCACAAATAAGGTAAAGATGCAACATCTACCTTTGCCACATTGTCCTCAGCATCATTTGATACGACCTTGTCTCCCACTGCAGAAGCAGATCACAGATAAGTGTTAGTTGATGATAGACTGCACTGTGCCTACTAGTGTGGAGAACAAGTCAAAAAAGATGCAATCCATGGCCTTTGGAACCAATATTCCAAGAGAACAGAATGACAAAGCAACTGTGGTTACACAGTTGACACATTCATTTTGGTAATTTCTCAAGTTTTTAATGTTCGGTGTCATGGGAATGCTATGGAAACTAGAAAGGTAAGCAGTGTTTCCCAGGCAACAGAGAAAATATGTATTGAAAACTAGCTTCTAAACCTTTTCTACAATTGCAGTTAAAGGCTTTTTCCTAGAGTTGAAACTGGCTTGTTTGGTCCACGTTTCTCTGCTCAGAATAAGCTCAGCCATGGGAGTTATCTGCTAGAAGAGATTTCTATAGTATAGGCACATCTTAACTAGATTAACTGAGAAAGGACTTAACTAGTGACACAGATTATATTTTTCCAGCACAGTGAACAGCTTAGAAGTAACCTATTTTATAGAGAAACAAAAACAGAGGTAGAAGTGTGAACTTGTAGCTTAAATTAAAAAAAATGCACTAGTAGTTTCAAAACCATGTTTGTTTTAGTGCCAATAAAAATAAATGCAACATTTGACCCTTAAGAGTTACCCTACAGGAAGCTAAATTCTCTCTCACCAGGGATTTTCCTTAATAGAGGAAGACTGCCAGAAACATCTTCAGATTTTTGTGTAAGTGACTTTTCAAGCTGAAATAAAAAGCAACATGTTTTCTAGAAATTCACAGGGGAGTGTTGTGACAGGAAGGTCATACATTAGGTTTGTCTGCATATGAAAGTCATGCTGATTTTACAGATAAATAAAAATACACTAGAATTATTTTGTTTACTATATTGTAAACTGTGCAGTTACACTGATTATGGAGATGTGTGTGTACATATGTATAAAGTAAGCACATCCCTCAAATCAACTTCTCTGTACACTCAGTGAAGAATGAATCCACAATCCAAAATTCTTTAAACTGAAGATAAAATCTGACACATTCAGAAGTGTTCTTCAGAGGCCAACTACTCCCATTCTGCAAGCGTACTAGAAGGTTTTACAATTAAAGCAAAGAATAGGTTTTTACTTACAGTAGGAATTTTCACTCCTTCACTGTTAGCCAAAGCTGCTGACTGGCTGTCTGAGCTCTGATAACCTCTCCATCCAGGATAATGAGGTCTGCCTTCCAAAGGCTGAAATGGTGGTAGCAAAGGAATAGCTTGCTGTATAGGCTCCCCAAGTTTTGTAGCACTGGCACTCAAACTCTCTTTTTGAGGTTCAGTAGTATGAACAGACTCCTCTGATCCTTAAGAGACAAATATGGAGAACTTGAAGTTTAAGTGTTATCTGTGAAAGCAGAGTGATAGTTTTGTATATTCTCCATACATATTAGATGGAACTTTCTAAATATTTAATGTTAATTACCATCTTTGTTGAATTGCATAGAACAGTACTGTAACATTTTTATGCCTTATGATGTTACTTTTCTTCTGTTTACAGAGATACATACTGCAGCCCCTCCCTGTCCCACTACTTTTCTAAGAGCACCAAGTTTTTCATGACTGTATATGTATATGAATATACTGCTCTCATACTGCATGGGTGTACCTATGTGCATACACAGTAAATAGCTTTTGATTTGCTGTTATTTTCCCCACAGTCATTTTATATACAAGCTGGGGAATGTCTGCTTACGTGCAGAAATTCTAAGCAATGACACAGCCATGGTCAGAGGGGACCAAGAACAATTGGAGAAGATGGTTGCCACCTGTCAAGCATGATTCACCCAATACACAATCTATCCATAACTGTCCTTAAGAACAGCATGAAAGCCCCCTTGAGAACATGATTTTGGATGCTAGGATCTTCCACAATGACTTTTTACTTTTAGTATTTTGCTTATCGAATCACAAAAGGAAAAAAACCTAGCTGAAGCAGAATCCTAGCTAAGCAGAATTACCCCAAACAATGGAGCTTACATATTCTGGGACACTAAAATTCTGGAAAATTATTTATTTCAAAATATAGCTAAAGTGTTTCCACCCATGACTACGGTTCTCCTCTACACTACATTAGTAACCTACACCCCTTAGTCAAAACCAGGTAGATTAGATATCAGAAGAATGAATACTCACCATCTTCCTTTTCCTTTACAATGGCCCTTTCAGTTTCAGAGAACTGTCTAGGTAATGTTGCAATAGCCTCTGCGTTTTTAGATTCTTCTACCCCCTTGTCCTCTTCTGCTGGTAACAATTCAAGTAACTGGAATTCTAGAAGTGGTGTTTGAAAAAGATTAAATTCAGAACTATAAAGCATCTTGCTATGAACTATTTAGATGGACAGTTGGCAGGTTTGGTATGTCAATAACTTGGTGTTAGCAATCCATACTATGATCAAAATAGGTCTGTTAAATTCCTAATTGTAATTCTATTCAATAAAAATATCATAATTCATAATATTTTTATGCTTCTACTTGGAGACATTAATAACCAAGAATAGGCATATTCTTATAGGAAAACAGGAAATAAGAATGGACCCCATTTAAGTAGGCTGCACATTATTTTTTTGAGAGCCACCCGTCATGTTTTTAAGTGGCACACCTAACCAGTTGTTAAGTAATACATTTTACACTGCAATAAATTAAATAAATTAAAGGCTTCAGAAATCTCTTATTCTATTGAACAAAATAAAATGCCTTTGTAGGGAGAACTGAATTAGAAGTCAAACAATAAACCTTTAAATAATGTAGCTCAGGCGTCATGAAAAACAGCCTCTGAAATACTTTATGAAATCTACATTTTAATTTCAGCAAGATCAACTACAGGTATGTTCGCTTATTGTGGACTGTGGTTTTTTGTAAAGTAAGTTTAAAACAAAGTATTTGTCTGAAAGAAATAACTTTTAAAAAAGAAACAACGAAAAAGCCTAGAAATGTTACTACAGTGTAGTCCTAATTTTTTTTTCTCACCCAAACTCACCTTCCTCTCTCTTGGAAAATGAATGAGCAGTATCTCCAAGTCTAATTAATTCACTGGTAGATTCTGACCCATCTACATCACAAGATGGAGCAAAAAATTCTGACTGGGACCTAAGAGGAACATAAAGCCGTAAAATATTTACTCTAAACGACTTTGCACATTCAGCCCACAAGATGGAGCTGCAGAAGAGTGGTAGCTCTGCTTCAGGTAGCTGGGCTATTACAGTGTAGTACACTAAGAGACCAGCTTCTACAAACCAAACCAACGTAAAAGTCAAAGATTAATCAAATGCAGTTTAACTAAAATACAATTTTTTAAAAGTGAGACAAAGTTTCCAACTTGTTTCATTCCACGTGTAAAGCAAACTCAAAGGCAACAAAATACCATCAGCATTCTTCAAGAAAAAAAAAAGTTCTGGATCTTATTTTAGCCCTCTGGCTGCCCAACTAAAGGAGAAAGTTACCTTGCATTCCGCGACATATGTAATCAGTATGTTTCCTACTTGCATACTATTAAAAACCTACCAGTTTCTCTACAGATACACGAAAAGGTAGTCAATCACTATGTCAATGCAAATATTCAGAATTGTTCTTACCCTTCCACTGATGAGAATATTGAAGGTTGCATAAGTTGACCAGCATTGCTTTCCAGCTGCTCTTGAGATGCAATTTGAATTTCATTATTGGATAGCACATTGGCCTCATCTGTTAATAATGAAGAGGCAATTATTTTCAGGAAAACTAGTTCTACCTATTAACCAGCAGGCATTATTGGCAATATCATCAAAACAGTTTAAGTGTAATAGATGGTATCTAAAATGATGGTGGGGTGGGGAGGCAACTTTACGGTAAGTTTTGAAAAGCAATACAACCATCATATACCCTGTTGTTTCAATTATAAGTAACCCCTTTCTTCCTCCTTAAAAGAATTAAATCCTGTACTTACAACTAGAAAATTGGAGCCACTAACACCTATTGGGTAGCAGCGCTGGCAGCCTGAGAGAAGGGAAAAGCAGGTGTACAGGCACTGAAAATTGCCACTGTCCTCTTTCTGCCATTCACAGTGAAACAGGACAGGAGGTGGCTGAAGGCCTGAGCAGCTTCTCTTCCCCTGTTTAGCATTTTCCTCAAAATAGCCCCTGCTATGAATCTGCTCCCAAGACCTACTTCGCAGGAAAGCTTAAGTCACCCCCCTATTTGTCTCCTAGTAAGCAAAAGGGACATTTGCTCATTGTTCCAGTTAAAAAGTCAACATTTCCCTCCCTGAAGCCTAACCGTAAATCATTTGACTTACAAGTAGAAAGCAGCATAGTAACAGAGGATGAATTGTCTGGAGTAGGCTTCTGCCACAAGAATGAGGCAGAACAATTACGTTCTCCAGTTCTTGCCTTTTACCAAGTTTTGGGGAAAATCCTTTATTTTATCATTGTTTATGAAAATAAGGAATGTAAATATTCAGTTTGGCCACTGAAATTTCCTCACTCCATGATGAGTTTCAGTCTTTCTCCTCTTCTGTATTGTCAAGTTTATAGACAAGGCAAAACCACCAAATAAATCTTTGCTACATTGGAAACGCAATATATGTTTTGGGTATCCCAAAACAATGTTTCACAAAGCTCACATCTTCCAATGGATAGCATTCCTTACAGCTGCTAGTTAGAAGAGCAAAAAAACAGGTTTTACCTATTATGGAAGCTGTATTCCATCTGCAAACACCAAGAACTACGGTCATGAGAACCTAAGCCCTCAGCAAGCTAATTCGACAGCAGACAAACAGAAAAAGCAAGCTGGCCATAATATAGTAGTAGCAGAACATAATACCTTGAACTAGGACACCTGTCTACTCACCTCCATTCTGAGAAGATTCACTGACTTCTTCTGTAAGATACTCTAACAAACCATCAAATATTTCAAGGAGGTTTCTGATAGATTCCCTTTCTCCTTTCACAATGTTCTCACCTGAAAAGAAGGTACTGCCACATATTAATAATTCGTACTTCACAGAAGAAAAATTCTCAAAAGCAGGAGTTTTCTGGAGAAGAGTGCTTAGAAATTCTTGTGAAGGTGTCAGATCAGAAGACAACTGGTCACTCATTTATGGCTATGTATGTAAGCTTAAGGTAACTTAAAAGTTTCCTAAAGTTACATATTTTCAGTTCTAATAACAACTGAAAGTTTACTGATGCTATACCTGCTTCCACAAAAATAATTCAGAGATATTTTTGGGGATAGTTATTTAGTATTTCCTTATACATACTTATACAGCATGAACCAAGTCTATGGACTGGCAAGCAGGATTACAAGTACCAGTCATATTGTACAGGTACCAAATTAGAAAAAGATACTTCATATCAAGCAAGCAGTTTTCATTCTTTGCAGGCTATGTTATACGAGTCTGTACATACGAATACTCAGTGGAAGCTATTATCTGTGTACAGAGGACAGACACAACATGGTTCAAGTCTTTACTCAGAAACTTTTTAAAATTCAGTAACAAGTTTGAAATTTGAGGCTCATGTTTTAAAACCCAGTCTCCAAGCTTTAACTATATACAGAAAAGTACTGAGCCAGTAACAGACTTCAGGTAATCAGTGAAGCATGACTGATTGTTAACTTTAACATTTCTTACAGGTCTGTGTCATGCAAGACAGTTCTTATTTATTCTCTGCTTGTTGTTTAAATTTATAGCCTGATGTCCAAGGCAAAGGTTTAGTGTTTTGATGACATTCACTACAGGAAAAAGGTCTTTCATGTAAGTATGAAAGTATGCTTTATAACATATGGTTCTTATAAAACGTTCAGATTAAACCACACAGATATTCAGCTGGTGTTTGTCTACACTAAAATGAGTACTTACCAGTGATGTGTGACAAGCTGACCTGCAAATAGTCCAATGCCAGGGAATCTATTACTGCTTGTACATTATGTGCATCATCCTCTTGGCTTCTAGGAGTAGCTATGAAATCTATTTAAAATAAATAATAGATTTTATGCTATCTAAATGGTTAGCTTATTGCAGATGTTTTGACTAAACTACTTTAACTTTCACTTACAAGTCAGTATTTTTTTCAATACCTTGTGTACTTGGTGAAAAGCCCAAATTTCATATGGTCATATGAAGTCTTTTATAATTACTGAGTATAAACTTAGAACACCCCCTGGAAGATGTGAGGATTTTATCAGCTTAAGCATTAAATTCAAGAGTAGGGCTACTGAAGTATTTTCTTCCTTTACTCCCAGCACACACATCTAGTTCAGATTGTCAAACTGGAATTGCAGTTTGTGTTAAGGTCTCTTCTTCCCCTTTCAGAGACTAGCTGGACTGCAATGTATTTGACTTAATGGGGAGCAACATTATTTTTAGTTCTGGGCTTATATTTAACAGGACTTCTACCTCCAATAGCTGCCAGTTACCTCAGTGCTATTAAAATCTTCTGCAAGTAGGAGTCTTGACACTTCCCAAACACAATAGTTTACCATAAAGCAAACAACTATATAATTGTGTAGCCCTTGCTTAATTGTCACTGAAGTCAAGTGGAGTTGGATTAAACCAGAGCTAAACCACAGCTTAGTTCTTAGCAGAATATTAGAATCTTATGTGTTTGTCTTTGGAAGGATACAAATACTGTAAAAATCCTATATCTGTAGAAAGTTTTGCAAACTCGTTCATTACAAAATCCACAGAGAAAAAAAAAAAAGCAGGTTTAGAAATTATCATTCCCACCTGGTACTTTTTCTCCTAAGATTGACTCATAAAGATGAACAAACACATCAGCACCACATTCTGAGAGACGTTTTATGTGCTGGTTTATGTGACAGCTCCTTAAAAGATCATTGGCAACAACAACCCAATCTATTAAGAAGTAAAACACATTAATGTCAGAACTGGAAGACACAGAAATAAAGACATGGTTAGCCACAGTGAAAGACAGAACCCGTTTAAGTGTCTTTGACTCCACCATATGTGGTCAATCCCAGTCATGCCACCACAGTCACCCAACATGTTGTTGGGTGACAACATGCTGAACATGTTGTATGCTTTCTGCTCCACACCCTATTTACTTCAGATGGAAACTCAGACAGAGAGTGAGGAATGATACGTGCCAGTACCTTGTTCAAGTACACAGTCATAGCACAACTGGACTTGAGAGCTGAAGGGTACTGAAGTACCACAGGCTGGGCAGATTACTTTTTTGTTCCATGTAATAGAAAGCAAATTCTGGTCTGGCTGCATAGCCAGGAATTCCAGACCTTGAAGGACTTAACAAAATAAGCTTTGATACATCTTTTGTCAAGAATCAGAAATTACATACGCTTTTTTTTGAAAACATGAGCTTTTCTCTTACAAACCCAGTTTCTCTAATACTTTTAGGTAACGACAACACTACTGATGTAAGTATTCTTCATGAAAGCTAAACTCAGGGACTGCTTTTATTAGTTTGCTGTTTAGGGATTACAAAAATAGAGCTGGTCCCACCAACCTCATGCTGTGCTCAGCACAATGAGATGTGTGCACAAACAGCCTGATTTTCCCAAAACTTCTGAATCCTGAATTCGAAGTGCTTTGACATATGTGTATCCTCTAGTTTTCCTTGTCACCCAATTCAAATATCAGCTTGGAAGAACAAAAGTGTTAATCTCTGTTAAGCCTGTGATCTCTTCAAGATTTATTTCCCCCCTACATGTTGCTTTTGCAAACAAACAAGTATTAGCAAGGACTTTATATTATTAGAGAAGTCATCTTTGGAAGGAAAAAGTATACAATTACTACAACAAACTAATTTGTACAATTTTTACTCTTCTGTACACAGGGAGTATTACTTTTCCATTGCCCTACTCTTCACTCAGTTCCAGAAATCACTTTCTCCTAATACCTTAATAACTTCAGGTGCATGAAAGGTTAAAGTAGCATCTCCTACGTTTCAGGCTGATCTGTTTTATTTCGATATTGTGCATCTCCA